GTTTTCCTTCTCTTTGCAGTGCTGTTGTCCTGCGTAGTTTTCTCCCTTAGTCGGCTCTTACGACATCCACGGGATAAATAGGGGATAAATATTCTAATACGCAATTAATACTTAATTGTAGCTAAAACTGTAAAATACTTACAGATTCAACGCTGACGTGAAGTACGAGGGCCACGCCAAGCACATTGTTCCTGAACATCACCACCACCACTGATTCTTTGATATTAAAACTTATTTAGCCTTAAATCTGATTGTTGATTAGTTTGGTACTTGATTATGTTTATAAATAAACTGTTATAACTAACAACACCTATTATTTGACATATCATCGTAATTTTGTCTCATAAATCGTATTAAGAATTTAATTCTGTTTCTTCTATCATCTAGTAACTGGAAAGAGGCCCGCCTTGCACAGTTAGTATTCAATTTCACATTTTAAATTTACGAAAGTATTCAATTTAAGATTATAAATATAAGTTTTTTAAAGAATCGTGGTAATCTTTTAGAGGTTTCTATTAAATACAGTAGCAGATGGAAGGTACCTATATTCTGACAAGATTGCGGCAGTTCATGTGGAATCTTCTATCATAAACAAGAAAGGTTCATACAGACTTGAAATATTATCTAATAAAATGTAAGTGTTAAGAAATCGATGGATTTGACCAATCATCACTCTATTATACACCACCATCTACAACCATATACTTGACTACCGGCTTTTTAAAACAAAAAAATTTGTCTTTTCGTAATAAGGTATGAAAAAGTATATTTATACTTACAAAATTTAATATACAATTTTATATACAAAAACTGCAATCATCACGGAACCCAACACACGCATACACACGCACACACACACACACGCGCACACACACATACCTACGCGCACACCCACACCCACATACCTAAGGTGATTGCATGTTTTTCTTGTTCTCAAGCTATTGTAGTGTAGATTGTTCTAATTGCATCTTTATTGTTTTATTTACAGAAAAAAAAATATTTTTGTGATACTGCAGAGGTTGCTGGTACTTATAGCACAGGTTATGCTATTTTAAGTACCAGCAGAATACTATATCATGTTATTTGTGTCTGGAGTATAATTTCGAAATATTTTATCCTGTATCTACTAATTTGTTCCAATAAAGAATTTTATTATTATTATATATTAGTTATTACTTTTGTGCGTTATCTACGGGGCATGACCTTAACCTTTGACACCTTTAATTTTCCGCACGACACGCATAAAACCTTTAATTTTCCTTCAGAAAATTAAAATGATTTTCGACTCAGAATGATGGCTTGAATATACTATTTCAGTATTCGTTACGACGTCCCTTACACCATGTAAAAACACTGTCCACCACTGAAGTACCTACCATACCAGAGTAAATTATTACAAAAACATGATAATATATAAAAGATTTAAAGTGTAACCTCTTTTACCTTTAAACGACAACGGAATGATTGGTGATATCCTGCCTGAAGTTGGCCCTAAAATAGGATTGTGTTCTTCTTAAATTACGGTCGAACAACGGTCCTAATAAAGTTATTACATACAATGTATTTATAATTAACCGCGTGGTGAAAAAACTAGAAACCGACACACGGTATAGACCACGACACGTTGCAAATGGAGAAAGGCCTTCCATTAAGAAATCATTCATTCATATATAATGTTACTGTTATCGAATCGGATTGGAACCAGTAAAGCAGGTTGTACTTGTTTTATTTTAAACTTTGTATTCTTTTTTAATACACATAATTTCTTACAAGTTCTCACTTCTGGCATAAATGCCTATAAGCGCGTTACAGGAACAATTTGTGACCTATAACGAATATAATATTATGTAACTATGTAGGTGACTATGGCGTTATAAGCAGGTACTACGTATTTTGCACTACTACTACGCATTGCCTGAATTTTAGAATAGTTTGCTTGAAAGTGATGTTCTTCATCAAAATTTTCGATTTAATAATAAAAATAATATTTTATTGTTCTCTCTCACACAGATATAGTTACAATAAACAATCTTAATCTACGTTGTTTTAAGGGGTCTGTGTGAGAGACTGGTATCTTTACTAGGTGCGTATGACAAATTACCAGCCTCTTCTAACTCTAGACAGTTGTGTGCTTTAAGCAGGTATAACCTGTTTAGAAGATTATAGAAGAGTATTTCACTCCGGCCCACCGCCTTCAGCTCTATAAGGCGCAAGTTCGGCCGCATATGGAATACTGTTCTCATCTCTATGCAGGGGCACCTCAGTACCAGATTCTACCTCTGGACCGCATTCAATGAAGAACGACTCGAATCGTCGATAGCCCAAACATCCGATCTTCCGATCGGCTCGATCCCTTGGCGTTACGCAGAGATATGACTTTACTCCGCATTCTCTATCGCATATATGATGGAGATTGCTCCAAGGAATTGTTCAGACTAATGCCAGCTGCAACTTTCCGCTCATCACCTGGATAGTTGGCGCTCCTCCTATCCGCTCCACCGTGCATTGGTATTATTATGTGAAATGAATAAGAACGTATAGTATGTGTATGTATGTGTGTAGCGTGTGTGTGCATGGGTGCGAGTGTGAAGCGTATTTGTTTGAGTGGATCCTAAGCTCAACGGGGATAGCTCATTTCTATAAAGGGACCTGTAATAGACTCTCGGTTTCCTCAAAGCTAAGGTACTAGCTATTGACTGCAAAGATGGCGTAGTAGTTTAAGCGGTCGCCACGCCGCTTACTACTACGCTGAGTGTTGTGGGTCCGATCCCCACATGGGGCGACACCTTGTGTGATCCACAAATTGTTGTTCTGAGTCTGGGTGTTATTTGTGTCCGTTTCATGTATTTTCATAAAGTCTCCCGCGACACATTATATATTCCTAATGCGGAAGTTGTATTTTTAACAAAAAAATAAAATAAAACTAGTGGTATCGGTTTGGCATTCGTATTTTATACATGAATATATATGCAATATCTGTTTGTTATATACTTTGTTGTACATGTATACGTACATGTATGTACAACATAACTGTACCTACCTAGGAAACCAAAGCGATATCTTTGATAATGTGCTGAAGCTATATACCATTGGAAAGTTTAATATTAATATCTCTATTTTTAAAGTAAACCGATGGGTCCCTATTCTAGTGCTGATCTGAATATACATTAAATCGAAGCGATTTGTTTATAATAAGCATGTTCTAAAATCTGAATTGAATCAAAACCAGCTGCGTCAATATTTCTCGGGAAAACTACTACCCCATTAAAAGTTTTAGATTAAGGCCGACTTTATCTTGTCTTTTTTTATGACGGGGTGGAAAATAGTTGTCGCAGGAGCCAGGTGGATGTGGGGATTGTACTAAAAAAAACACCGACGGCCGGCCTCAGGCACCCCACTCTGGGGAGGACTCAGACCATGTGTATTCAGGTCTCCCACGGATCGACGCCGCACCTACTAGGCCCTATCCCAGGGGAGAAAGAAGCTTCCCTCCGCCTATCGCTAAATATAGAGGCCCGATCGCATTTAATGCAATCAGCCCGCCCCCATATCTCTTACTGCAGTAATCAATCTGCTACCAGAGGTCCCTACTCTCTGGCAGCCTGCGGCCCCGTCGACGGCTGATATCGCCGCCGACGTCCACTATGCTCGTTATCGGTCCTCTCAAGATCGAACTCAGCGGTCTCTTTCTCTAGCATTAAAGCCTCACAGAAAGAGACCACTGCGCCGCAGCCCTCCAGCATGGCAGCAATGATTGCTGGCGGGGACAGTTCATGTCCGATTTGGTCGACCAGGACCTCGTGTTCAGACACCCACGCGGGGCAGTCTTCCTGTGTATGCTGGGCGGAGTCCCAGTCGTCTTCGAAGTGCTGGCGTTTTGCCGTCTCCTCTCGTCCAATCCGATTCAGGTACTCACCGAAGCAATCATGCCCAGTGAATACCTGCGTCAGTCGGTAGGTAGGTGTCGCATTTCGAGATCGTTTTGGTCTTCCCCGCCCTCAGGCCGGCGGATCGCGCAAGTCTGGTCATGTACCCTCGCGTCCATATCCGCCAGGATACTACCGGAACCGATTGCGGGACACGGTGCCTTTCTCGAAGTTGTTAAAAATTATGTGTACCTCGGGCAGACATTGCAGTTAGGTAGAAACAACTTCGAGGACGAGGTGAACAGAAGAATTCAGTTGGGTTAAGCAGCGTTTGGGAAGCTACGTCAAGTCTTCTCATTGTCGATCCCATAGTGCCTTAAGACGAAAGTCTTCAATGAGTGCGTCCTACCCGTCATGTCATACAGAGCCGAAACGTGAACACTTACGGTACGGCTGGTCTACAAGTTTAAAGTCGCTCGTGCTATGGAAAGGGTTATGCTGGCGTTTCTCTAAGGGATCGCATCAGGAATGAGGTGATCCGGCAGAGAACAGCAGAGCAACAAGCTGAGGTGGCAGGTGTCCTGGCCATATTAGCCGCAGAACCGACAACCGTTGAGGAAAACGAGTTCTTGAGTAGAGACCGCGTCTCGGCAAAGAAACAAACAAAGTGCAGAACCCCCACACACCAGGTGGAGTGACGATTTCCGCAAGATGGCTGGCAGGAGCTGGGTGCGAGAAGCTCAAAATCTATCTAAGTGGCATGCAATAGGAAAGGCCTATGTCCAGCAGTGGACTGCGATAGGCTGATGATGAGACATTTGTAAACCGTTCACGTGTTATCAGTATCGGTAATTTGCGTATCATTATTAGTATTAAAATATTAGAAGCACTTCGATGTTGAAGGCTCGCATACCAACATAATCTTATTTTAGCAACGATAAGGGATTTCACATCGCAACACTAATATACAGAAACAATTACTAACCAATATTGTAATTATAGTGAAATCAAAATGCCTTGACACCCGCTACTAAACTAGGTATATAAAAACACATGCTGTTTAGATTTATGTATCAGTTCGCTCTTAGACTTAGTGACTCAAACTTGAACAGGTTCAGAAAAAAAGGGAACAAAATGTTTTTCAAGGTAAGTTACTACACTTGATATGATAAATTAAAATGAAGCGTCATGCTTTACGATTAAAATACTAAATCACGTCAAAAAAAAATATTTTTATAGGTGCTGTGTGTATTGTCAATGGCTATAGTACTGACTGTAGGTCACGGCCACTCCTCACAGTACATCCACAAATACGACGGACATCACCAGCCAGTGCATCACGGGCACGAACACCATGATTATTCCGTTAGTATTTATGGAGTAATGGTAATTATTATATGGTCCTGAAAAAGCGTTAATATCTTACATGATTATTGCAGACTCACCCCAAGTACGAGTTTGAGTATAAAGTAGGGGACTCGCACACCGGCGATCATAAATCTCAGCACGAACATCGCGATGGGGATGTCGTCAAGGGACACTACTCGCTTCACGAGCCTGACGGCTCCGTCAGACATGTAGAGTACCACGGCGATCATCATAGTGGGTGAGTTGTGTGGTGTCATAGAAGTATTACTTATTTAGAAATAGCATCGATTACTAACTTATTACAAAACCATGAACTTTAATTAAAGGTAAAATAAAATAATCTTTTGTTTCAGCTTCCACGCTGATGTGAAACACAGCATTCACCACATTGTACCTCATCATAATCATTACTGAATCGTATCAGAGATACGACCTATGTAAATGAATGACGTAACTGAATCGTGATACGATCAAATTTACATAATTATGCAATTTTTTAAGTAATGATTAAATAATAATAAATGTTTATATCTTTATACATTTTGTTTCAAATCTTTTGCTTATCCATTAGTGCATTACGGGTATGTGATAGCTTTTGCTGCATATTATTTGTAACTATTAAAATATTTGTATTTAAAAAGTACTTAAGTAGTTTAAATTATTGTATTGTGTATGGATTCGTGATTAGAAGTTGTATGTGAACCTTGCAATGTAAAAATATCAAATATTTTACATTGTTAAGAAAAGGGAGAGCGAAGGTAACAGTGATTTTGTTACACGTTGTTAATTATAGTGGTAGTTATATTATCCACGATAACTATCGTTGCACATGAACAGTGCATTCCAGTATGTTACACGCTACTCTACGTAATATTTGCTCGCATGCCGTTAACAATTACTGGAAAACATTACGATACAAATGTTTCCGATTTTGGTATAATATATAATTATCTACCAAAAATCGTAAAAAATTGTTGATTTACTGTCTTAATTGGATTCACTAATTATAATAAGTGAATCCAATTGAATCAGTTAATCTGGTGCATGCTAAAAAAAATACATTATTGTTAATAAGAAGCTGGCCCTAAAATATTAAAGAAGAAATATGGGAGGATAATAGAGAATACATTATTGGTGGTATATTACTAATAAAAACACAAATATTTATCATCAGTAGATATTATTTTTGAAAATTAATATTCGCTTTTAATTGCGAATTTTACACGTACCACTACCCCGCGGCCCCGCCGGCGGCTGGTTAGTACTAATTGTAGTACTATCTGATATTTTTTGTCACCTTCAGCACCGTAGTTTACTTTTCCCTCTAAGGCAATCGTTATAGTGAGTGAGCAATTACCAGTAACAAATATATCAGTTTAAGATTTTAACGGCTACTACGATTATGACCTAAAAATGAAGCAAAATTTTTTTTTGTTACTTTCGTAGTTTTTACGCGCATGCAACTCAATCCCAACAAGGGATAAAAAAGCTTTGCACATTACGTACTATTTAGAGAACTTTTTCATTAAGACCCTAATGTATACCGAATATATAATATTGTTTGCACACTTCAATTTAGGTATCAAATTCATATAACAATTATTCTTAGTAATAGTTGTTAAAATAATATTATAGTATAGGATGTTTATAAAACTTTCGCACATAAATCAAAACTCACGATAAGTGAAGAAACATGAGGTACATCACTAAAATAGATAGTATATATAGGCCCTTTTTAGATTTAGGATATCAGTTTCGTGCATAAAGAAAGGCAAATTCTTTCATTGTAATAAAAATTATACAAGGTTGAACGTAATAAAGAGTTCATTAAAGTGATAGTAAATCGGTAAAACAGGTTCGTCAATACCATTTGTTGACGAAAAACGTATGCCTCGTTCCAGAAGCTGTCTTGTATACGTATATAAAGGTAATTGACAAGCTTACGTTTATCAGTTAAGCTTTTTTGTTTTACCTGTTAACAACTTCAATAATCATGGTCTCAAAGGTACTTTGCATAATTTTAATACTGATTAGTATTGACTTTTTTTAAGGAAAAAATGTACATACTTACTAAAATTCTATCTTATTAACTCCAAATAGCTATTTCTAGTCGCAGCCGTTATCGCCGTAGTGGGCGCACGGCCTCAGGATCATCACGGTCACGGCCACGCATACTCATCACAAAGCATCGTACTGCACCAAAGTCACGAACAGAAACATCCTGTTGCTCACCACGAAGAACATCACAAGGAACATCTCGAAGATCATCACAAAGAACACCACGAAGAACACCATGAAGAACATCACCATGAACCACATTATAGTCAAGCCTCCTCCGCCCAAAGCCTACATCAACACCACGGAGAACACGTAACTAAACACGTCGAATACTATGTACGACATTATTACCATTATTTTTGTTGTTTCCAACAAATAGTTTGCTTACTATGTTATCTATCCAACAGGCCCATCCTAAGTATGAGTTCGCGTATGAAGTAAAGGACCCCCACACTCATGACCACAAGTACCAGCACGAGCATCGTGATGGCGATGTCGTGAAGGGTGAATACGGCCTGGACCAGCCCGACGGTACCAGCAGGATTGTGAAATACTACGCTGATAAGAAAAGTGGATTTAACGCTGAAGTGCACTATGAAGGTCACGCCAAACATATTGTACCGAAACACCACCACCATCAATGATTCTGAATATTGACTGTTGAGTGGAGTTGATTGTTATAACTTATAGTGTTACATATTAACTACATAAAATAAGCATTTATAAAGACAAGATTTTATTTTTACATTCATCAGACAAAGTTAACATAATAGCTGGAGTTGGTGAACCCCTAATTTTTGTTTATAGTTGCAAGTGCATTGCATTACAAGGAAAACCAATTTACCTCATAAAAAAACTTTAATAACATCGCAAACTGGCGAAATAGGGAATAAATGTTGCAATTGTAGGGGCAATACCTGTAGATGTAGCACCGTAGAGGCAACACCAAGCACTTACTTGAGACTGTTTTCCAAAGTACATATACATATATCATAATAGGCCAACATCATCCTTCTGTCAACATTGCAAAAGTTTGTAGCGAAAGCAGTTGTGCTCTGTACTAAAATGTAGTATGAACCTGCAGGAGTTGAAGACTTCACGACGCCTAAAATTCAAATTTACTTAATGAGAAAGCAATGTTACATTATAAAAACAGCAACTTTATAAAGTTACAACATACATTATAACATACCAATACTACTAGTTAAACAAATCCCTTTTACCACGGAAGAGTCATGCTTTGAAATAAATGGGTCGGCTCGACCACAGTGATCAGGGCCTTAAAGGAAACCGGTATTAAGCTAAATCTTTCGTTACTTCTGAGTGATGTTATCGGAGCCCAAATCCCCAGCAATACACTGGTGACTTCTCAGTTGCAGGTGTCCATGGGCAGCCGTAGTTCTTACCTTCAGGTGACCCGTCTGTTCGTTTGCATCGTTCGTTTGCTGTGCATTTGACATCACACACTATTATAAGTAAACTGACAGTGTATAGAGCTAACAGTCGTATTGCTAGTATACTTTATTTTGGGTTTTGCTGAAACTAGAAAAACTAAAAATTACACGTAAATAGAAAGCGTTTATTTAGTTGTTTGAGTACAACTCAAGAAAAATGATTTCTCAAGATTGATGATTTAGGAGTTTATTTTTTAAATAAATAGATTGTCATTCTATACTCAAATAAGCTGATACCTTGAATGTTTTATCATTCCGTACCTGAAACTTTTAATATTTCAGGTAAATGCGTTGACAACTATTGCTATCTTGGACTAGTCACAATGGTAACTTAATGTAAGAGTACAACAATTCTGCTGTTATATTTATATGATTTAGGAAGTAAACAAATTAGGAAAAAAAGTCACTAATTACTATTTTACTACGTTCTTTGAAAAAGATTGAGATTTTTTGTAATCATTGATAATTGACTGGAAGAGAATGACCTCGGCTTTACGTCCGCCGATGCATAAAAGTGCACAAAGTTTATACATAAATGAAAAAATTATAATCTCAAGATTCGACATAAATTAGTTCAACTGCTGCGTTCCTGAGAAATTAATGAACTTACAAAGACAAACGTACACACTTACTTATTTGTAAAAAAAAAACTAAATATCCTATCTGACTTTTAGATTCATTAATTTAATTAAAAACAAATATTCGCTATATATCTAATCCTGAATACCAGATGTTATATATCAGGGCCTTAGTTCTGAACATAAAATAGCAGAATTGAGGTTCACTTTCGGGATCAGTTTCAGCAGCTTCCAAAATGGTGTTAAAGAAATCATCGCATAACTATTTTAAGTTCAATAGACTTTATTAATACTTTTTATTTAAAGAAAAATTAATCTTCTTTTTGTTCTTATTGTTTCTGTTGAATATAAATCTGTAACCGCCAAACTTGAATTTTGTTATTGTTGAAACAGAAAAGGATTAAGTGCTATAAATCGCATTGGGTAAAATGGGGAAGAGTAGGTACGCTTAAGGAAAGGTGGTGCTAGAGTGCACACATTTAAATTGAAAATATCGTAATTTTTAGGGTACCTCACTTTCTTGTCCGTCTGTCCGTCTGTCCGTGTGTCACCACCGATTTTCTCAGGAACGGGTAGACCTAGCAAGTTGAAATTTATACTAGATACTGAGGTCTTTGGTACCTATTAGGTGTATAAAAATTAAGGTCCTGAGTCAACACGATAAAAAGATATGGGCACATTTCGATTTTCGAGAAAACTTGTAAGTACCAAAATTTACCTTAATTTTCAACTTTTTTATTTTTCAGAATTATCTCTTTACTTGTGCTGTAAGGCCTTGCTTTTAACCAAAATTGACAATTCTAGGTCAACCTAAGAAGGTAAGAAGTACCCTATAGGTTTTGGGTCGAAAACCTAAATGGTAGTTCCCGTTGACCTAGAATCACGAAATTTGGCAAAAAGAAACGTCTTACAGCACAAGTAAAGGAATAATTCCAAAAAATAAAAATTTAGATAAATTTTAGTACTTACAAATTTTCCCGAAAATCTACGTAAAATCTGGTTAGGTACGGAACCCTCGGCGCAAGAGTTCGACTCGTACCTGACCGGTTTTTTTGTGTCCTATATATTATAAATTGAGAACCCTGCTTCGGTACATAAGTACTGAAGCAGAGTTCTCCCACATAATTTGAATAATGCCGGGATCGACAGGAGTGATACCACGGCCTCACAGAAAACCATTGTAGTGATTACAAAAAAAAAAATTATTAAAATATTTGGCATAGTATAAAAATGAGAGGTCATAATGACGTAGTAACCACTGCGCTGTACATTGTGTTAGGTATATATGTTTTGTAAATAATAGCTCTCATGACACAGCGACGATTCAACAAAAGAAATATCTTGCACTAAGTTTTGTTTTAAACCCGTATAATTGGTATTTCATATGTTAAAAATCTACTTTTCTTCGACAATATGCAGAATCATCTGAGGCACGATACCATCCACATGATGCCACGTCATCATTAAATCTCAATAGAGTTGCCGCTTTTACAAATCCTATCCTATTAATATTTTTTTGTGAAATATTTTATTTTATTGATTCTTAAAATGTGAGAAGTTTCTTGTAAAGTTTATGTGAAAATTACATGGCTATCACATGTTTTAAATTTTTAATGTATGTGATAACAATATATGATATGACTCTAATCTACAAACTTATTTAAACTTAGTTAAATTCAAGACTTTCCTCAACAATCAAGTTAATTCATAAAACAATATTTTTAGCCTACCTTGCCTCGCTTTTCTATGTTGCATGTTGTGGTTGGATTGATGAGAAATGAGAACAATACTGACACAAAAAAATAAAAAAACAGTGTGTAAAGCGGTTGTATTTCGAGTCAAAACTTGAGATCAATAGGTTTAGAACTGAGCTGGGTCCATAATTTTTTTCTTTCTACATTTATAATACTGGTCTATACAATATTATGAGTGCAATAAACGAATTGAATTAATTTTTTTGAGTTTTGAAGCGTACACAAACCAACTTAACATTTTTTATAATTATAATTTATACAAATATAGATTTTGTTCATTTAGTTATTTATTTTTATTCTTAAATTAACCAGGCACATGAAAATATCATCTTGTCACAAAAGATCTTTTTATGTTTATAATATCCCAATATTAGTATTTAGGCCCATATTTTCATATAATCTTAATATCAACTACATTACTTTAAAATGTAGTTTGATATTTTAATCTAAAGAACAGTCACACAACAGAACACTGAACGCCTGCCAAAACAAAACGACTGATAAATGTTGAAATGCATATTGCTGATATGGTTAATTTCATGTTTGATTTACCGGTTGTTTCTTCTAAATTATTTTTAAACTAATGTAAGAACACAAATTTTGGTATGAATTAAGGTTAGTATCATTGACACATCGGTCATGCCACTAAAGTAGAAAAGCCTAGTTTCTAGTCGCCTCTAAACCTAGACATAGTGAAAGAAACACAAATAAAGTCATTAAAAGAACATACACATCTATGCAAAAACTAAATATTATTTTAAATAAAGAAGAATTATTTCGCTCAGCCATAAACTATTAAAATACTTTTTAATAGTTTATAACTGTTGTATAATTATCATTATTTTATCACTATTGTCAAAGTGCTGTCAATTTTGTACTTTAGGAATATATTTCTATCCATAAAAGAAGACCGACAGAATTGGGCAATGAGACGGGCAGCAATTTTGTAAACAAATTAAAATAGTAATAGTTTTATTTAATTAAGAAATAAACAAATGAACATATTCACTAAAATATATACCATAATACACAATATATAACATACATGAACAAAAGCATTATAAAATATTTATATTGATTTACTAGCTGATACCCGCGATTTCGTTCGCGTAGAATTTGAAAAGTGCTGCCTTAGTGGGTTCGATTCCCGGACTGGGCAAAATTTTAAATTATTTTTCTGAGAGGGAAAATAGCCTAAGTTACTCCTTATATAGATAGCTCCCTGGTATTAAAATATTATAAAAATCAGTCCAGGCGTTTATAAGATTATCCAGAACAAACAGACAGACATTTTTATTTAAAATGGTTTTTAGGCACAGGTATCGTGCAAATAACCGTGTTAGCATGAAGAAAACCTATTATTTACCCTGTATTGTTTACCCTATATTAACCTGTATGTATGTTTATACGAGTATATTGTGTATGTCTCTGGACCTAAATTATGTTAAATTTAATATTTTATTTTGTACCTCATATTTCTACATCACCTGAACTTTGACTGGGAGAGAATGCCTAATGGATTTAGTCCGCCTTTGTACAATATGTGCATTAAGTTTAAAATAAATAAATTATTTTGATATTACAAACAGAAACTTCAATTTTATTGATTTGTATAGATAAAGGACATCGACATCTTTGTACGGGACTTGGGTAAAGGCGCGGGCATTTTAATTTTGAAATAATAATTTTACTATTTCGTAGCTGAAGCTATGTAGAAACCGAAAATAGAATTAGTTTAGTGTCAAAACAGTTATAAAACATGACACTGTGTTGCCGCTTTTTACCCCTCGCACCCCCCAGAATTATATAATTAGACTTCTGGTAACCACACTCACTCAGTGAGAAAGTATTTACTGCCGGTTTTCTGTAAGGGCGTGGTATTATTCTGGTCAAGCTGACCTATATCATGTGTCGAAGCATAGCTCTCTCACGCATTAGATATAGGTATGATTAAATATGAAATGATAACATCCTCGTAGCTGTTAAAGCCTTTTGCTGAGTGATGTTCGGATAATAAGTTTTGACCATGACCATGATCGTGACCGTTCCGCGGAAGTGCGCTGATGGCAACTAGAGTACCGAGGCAGACGACTTGTAATTTTATGTTCTTGTATAATTATTGAGACAAGTTTACTTAAAAGCATTACCAGCTTTTTTTTCAAATTAACCTTAGCAAGTAACGATCAATAAAAATATTAAATATCATTAAAAATCATGTTGAGCTGTTTTATTTACTAAAATTGTTTTTTTTTTATTTGGGTTCGATTCCCACTCAGAACAAATAATTATGTGATGAGTACGATCATTTGTTTTGTGTATGGGTGTATTTAATGTCTATATTTAGAAATATTTAAGTATGTTTATCAGTAGGCTGATTACTATGGTACAGGGCCTGCCTAGTTATTATTATTTTAAAGCTACCGATAATAATAATTATAATATTCTACCACATTCGCACTCCGCCATCTAGTCCCAAACTAAGCAAAGCTTGTACCATGGCTACTAGACAACTGATGTAAATACATACATACTTTTTTTTTTGTAAATATATACATATTATACATACAAGCACAGTCTTCTGAGAACAATAAAGTTTAAAAGAACATTTATGCGGTTTTAGTACCTATGGCGTTACATTCAGTTGAAAGAGAAAATACACACTATTTAACTAATAAAAAAGCATGGTAAGTAAGGCGTTTCCTATTCAATCTAATAATTTATGTAGCTTTCAGTTACTTTATGTGCATTTCTTTTTATTTTGTGATAAATAGTATACCTAACTACAAAACCGGTTGTTTCCTTATTTGATGCATCAGTGATGCATCAACTAAGGAAACATGCAGCATGCATGATGCAGCATCACTAAACGCTTGAGATAGGCGCTAGTTATTGTTGTAACTGATTGATGTATGTATTGATTGATGTAACTGATTTGTGTAATCGACTCAGAAAATAGAAAGTTTGGGCACAATTATACTTCATTTTAGATTAGATATTAGACAAATTATAATATATTTCTGTTTTATAAATATTCTGCATAGGTATATTGTAAAAGTAATCATGATTATTGACAGATTATATTTTCATAAATGGTTGAGAAATATAAAATTTAAAAATAAGCTTTCGCTTAAATTGAGATTATCATAGATATCCTGGTCATCTATGTGATGAAGGATTAAGAATACGGAGATTTACCACCCATGGGTGTCCCGTAAGAGCCGACTAAGGGAGCAAACTCTGCAAGACAACGGCACTGTAAACAAACCTTTTTTTTTAACGTGTGGAAACTCCCTGGGGCCGTCATCCGACTGCGGTTAACGGCGGGGCAGTGTGTGGGAATCGAACCTACTAAAAACACACACACACATAGAAAGGGTCCGTCAACAGCTGATATTAAGACATCTAAACCAAACTTGAAACAAACCCTATATCAACCTGTCTGGCCAGCGTGGTATAGTAAGCCAAAACTTTACAAGGAGAGGCATTTATCTAGCAGTGGTCTATTAAAGGCTGTTAATGATGATTGACGATCTCTGGTAAGCTACAATATATCTAAAAGGTCACAATCGGTAATAAGAGGTAAAATGTGAATCTGATTTTGATCAAAAATGTTCTTATCAAGTTACATTTATTTTAACTTGACTTCAAATAAAAAATTTGACGCGTGCAGTAACATAATTATGTAATTATGAAAATTTATTCAGGATAATAGATATTAGTTAAATTATTATTAAGCGCCGTGGATAGCGGTAGTCATATCTACTGCCAATTAATGATCCTTAAGAATGAAAACTAAAAGTTCAAAAGGTGATTATAGGTTTACCTCTAAGAGGATCTGTATCTGTACTGTAGTACAGGTGGCAAAACAAAGAGTATACTTGTACTGTATACTTATATACGTGTACACGGTATACTTGGACTTGCTACTAAAGCGATAAAAAATAAACATGTTTTAGTAAACTAAATAGTTATGAGGATATGGTGGTTCTATTGTAGTTTCTTCATTAATATAAAAAATATTGGGAGCAATATACCTGAAGCCCTGAATGTAAATTGTATAATCGCCGGCTGACATTGTCCATACTAACCGACATTTAAACCGGTTACTTATGCGCTTGGTAACGACTGGAATAAAATTTCGAAAAATGTGGCCTACCGACATGTGAAATACGTTAATCACGAATTTCCAAAAGTATCGCCGATATGAAAGTCATTGTCCTTCATGGACTTAAATACTATATTCTGTAGCAAATTTAAAGAAAACTGGCTTATCAAAGAAACTGTCTCATTTGGGTGACAGATTATACAGTATATAATGGACAATAATTTTTAAATCAGCGTCAGTTCACTAAGTCACTTCAGAGTAACTAGAGGAATAATTTTAAAATGTTTTTAAAAGTAAGGGTATTAGCATCTTTAAACCAAGCAGTGTATCTATAAAAAAAAATCAGCTGAGTTTTAAATCCATACTTAGAAGTATCTAACTATAAAATATTTATATTTACAGGTCATTGCTCTCATCGCCTTTATAGGTGCTTGCCAAGCCACTGAGCACGCCTATTCTTCGCAAAGCATTACTCGCTTCGATAGCCACCATGACCATCACCATGATCATACCTATGAAGAACATAAACACGAGGAGTATAAGCATGAAGAGATTAAGCATGAGAACCAAGGACATGAGGACCATAGGCATCATGAACATGTCGAACATAAAGTAGAGCACAAGGTCGCTCACCCTATTAAGCACCACGCAGCTGTTGAGCACAAAGCCGAACATCATGGACATGTTGAACATAAAGTCGAGCAGAAGACACATGTTGAGCACAAGCCTGAATATCACGGACATGCAGTCGAGCACAAAGTTGAACATAAGGTAGAGCATAAAGTTGAACACAAACAACATCATCATGAAAAGAAACAGGAAGAGCACAAAGAAAAAAAGCATGGACACGAAGAACTCAAGCATAGTCTATATGCTGAGGTCATTCCCGATGTTGAAAAACACGAAGAACATTATGTAGCTGCTCCCGCTAAAGTTATTCCAATTGCCCAGTACGTGCACAAGAGCTCTGAAGAACAAAACCATAAACATTACGAGCATGCCATTTCTTCCCAGCACATTTCCCGTCATGACGTACCTGCTCCTCCTCCCAAGGGTTTCTCTGACCACTCTGTAAGTATTTTGTTGTAAGTAATTGCAAATAGCCGTTAGTACCGATCATGTTACTATAATAACCTTCTCTTTTAAGGGACCTGCTAAGTATGAGTTCGCCTACGAAGTGAAAGACCCTCATACTGGCGACCACAAGTACCAGCATGAGTCCCGCGATGGCCATACTGTAAAAGGAGTATACAGCCTCCATGAAGCTGATGGATCTATTCGTACCGTTGAATACGGTTCTGACAAGCATACTGGGTAAGATTTCTCCATAGCATTTTTTCGCCGTCGCCTTTAATGATGTATCTGACCACCATTTTTATGCTATGTGTGACAATTACTATTAGATCTTTATATAATTTATTTATGTATTTATATGTGCATAATAATAATATAATATTGTTCGGATATCTGACACACGACATACACTAGAACTAGAACTATAAAACTAGATTGACTTTTTTTTGTTAATACATACATATTATACATGGAAAACATATATATATGTATTTATTTTGTGTATTCCTTATGTGTCCTTGGTTGCTTCTAAGCTATAGCATTTTTTTCTCTTCTTTCACCCTCAAAATCTGTTAATAAATATAATAAAACAAAGTAAAAAATATAAGTGAGTAAAACACATCATTTTGAGTTAAAGTTTTCTTCACTAACTATATATTATAATATTACAGGTTCTCAGCTGCCGTAAAACAATCCACCAAGCACGTTGAAGAGAAACATCATCATTGATTTTATTATACAAAGCAGTTTGTTATTAGATAGTAAATTCCAATGATAGTTGTTTTGTTAACGTTTATTTTTGTGAACATGCACTTAACTTAATACTTATTTATTCTAAATAAATTATTCGATGCTCAATTTTTTTTTGTTTTATACTAATTTGTGGACTTTCCCGAAACCTATTAATCGATTTAACTCAATAACTAGCTTTAAACTAAATATCTATTTTAAAATAACCCATGTAAACCACTTTGAAATGTTACTTAGCATTTATATAATAATAATATAGTATAGGAAATCATAACAAATTACTTAGATGTACAGTATTTCTGTTTCCATAATATGGTGTACTTGGACAAGTATTCGGACTATTTATCGTATTGGGAAATAAATAGTTCTCTCGTCGATTAGTATGTATACAACTTCCCAATATCAGTATTCTCCTTTTGTGTCGGAGGGACATAACACCAGTTCCTCAACAGTTTCAAACAAAACAAATTGTAAAAAAATTGGAATTAATGTTTTTTTAAACTTATAAAAGTACAGTAAAATCATATACAAAAGCTATTGTTAAAAACGGGAAATTTTAATAAAATATCTAAGTCATTTAGAGTTCGACTAATGTATGTCTAATTACATTTCACAAACAAACAAAACAAAACAGTTGAAATTTTTGAAACAAAATTCTATTGTAGTAATAAAATCAACTGGTTTTAAATACCTTAGAGCTTTTTAGATACAATAAGATTACGTAGCTACTGTAGGTAATCCAATTAGTCATTGTATTACATCCAACATGTAAGCGTTTAAACTTTTAAGCAACTTTGGCCTGTCGACCTTGTCATACTCAAATGCCTCCTGCCACAACTATATAAGCGGGTATTAACACATGCAATGCATCAGTTGTGCACTTTTTTTTAATACTTCAATATGTTCTCTAAAGTAAGTACTAGTAATCATTTTGAAATTAAGAATTCAGTTTTATAAATTATTTATATCCAAAATTCGAAATACACCCTGATAACTAGTAGTTGAAGTAACGAACTAAAAATGTTTTGTATTTTAGGTCGTAGCCGTAAGCGCGGTGTTTGCTGTAGCATCAGCGGGTCTTCTGCCAGCAGCGCATTACTCTCAATCTGCTGCAGTTTCCTCACAGAGCATCGTGCGCCATGACGAGGCCCAGCCTGTAGCCCACGTCGCTCATGTTGCTGCTCCCGCTCACTACGCTGCTGCCCCCGCTCACTACGCCGCTGGCCCCGTTCACTACTCTGCTCCCGTAGCCCATACTGAGGAATACGTAAGTGTCTCAACTTACATACTTTTTTGTTAATACCTATTTTATTTAGGAAAATCTAACTCATGTTTATTAACAGGCTCATCCCAAATACGACTTTTCTTACTCCGTGGCTGATGGACACTCCGGTGACAACAAGTCTCAACATGAGAGCCGTGACGGAGATGCTGTTCACGGCGAGTACACTCTAGTCGAAGCTGACGGTTCTGTGCGCCGCGTGCAGTATACCGCTGACGACCACAATGGCTTTAATGCAGTCGTCTCCAACTCTGCTCCCGCTCATGTTCACGCCGCTCCCCATACTCCTGTTCTTCTCGCTCATCATTAAAGTCTAGTCGTATTTAGATAAGACTGTATTTAATATTTTATTTATTTATGATAAACGAAACAGAAAAAAACTTTATACTTACTTTGATTTAATGCAGCAAAATTACGTCATTTGAAATGAACCTTTATTTAACTTTTTTCTGAAACCAAACTAAACAATCTATATTTCTCATAGTCAAAGGTTACTTCACTTTTATTTCGTATAAACAAAATGAAATAAAAGTATAATGGTTAAAATATGATATGGAATCAAAAAACCAATTAATCATATAATTTATGTAATTAGTTTATAATTAGTTCTAAAAAGGAATGCTTATAGTTTGACCAGGTCACTAACTCACCGCGGCCTAACAGTAAGGTGATCATCATCACCATCAACAGCATTTTATAGTCATAGGCCATAGGCCTACTATACCACACCGGCCAGTCGGTTTGGTATAGGGTTTGGGTCAAGTTTTCCTTCTCTCTGCAGTGCTGTTTTAATGTGTAGTTTCCTTCCTTAGTCAGCTCTTACGGCACCCGCAGGATGAATAGCGGTAGTGACACTCCGTATTCTTAATCCGTCACCACATGGAGAGGTTACCTTACCATTTCTAATTTCAATAAAAATTTCAATAACATACCAATATGAATCTAATTCTTGGTTGTCGGATAGTTGAAAAATGTAACAACAATAGAAAATAATAGCAATATATTATAATGTTCAGTTCCAAATTTTTTGTATTAGGATATATCCTAACACACAAGCACAAAACACAATAAACACATAAATCAAACAGTTAACGGTAAAACTTTTAGCAAACAAACTCAACTCACATAACTGCAAAGGAATTAAACTGGCCACTATTTTTTTATTATTTATAAATTCTCTCTGAATGAATGTAAACTGTTAATGAGAGAAATAACGAGGACTACTTGAGTATATAATAGGTCTTTACCTATGAAATTGCCGTTTTGTATGCAATTAGTGAAAGTACTAATTTTTTTATTTTTTTTATTTCTGTTATTCGAAGTAATCACCCATGCAATCGACGCATCTTTGCCAACGCGTTGGCAGTTTATTGATGCCCTTCTTGTAAAAATCAGCTAGACGGGAGGCAACAAACTCTTCAAAGGCATTTTGTACTGCCTCTCGGGAATTGAATTTTTTACCCACTAAAAAGTTGTCTAAATTTTGGAAAAAGTAATAGTCGGTAGGTCTGGTGAGTATGGCGGATGAGGGAGAGCTTCCAACCCCAGCTCTTGCAGCTTGGAGACTGTCTGTTGCGCAGTATGGGGTCGCGCGTTGTCGTGAAGCAGCAGTGGGGACGACCGATTGACCAAAGCTGGTTGCAGATGTGCAAGCTTCTCCATCATTCTCTCCAGTTCTTCACAGTACATATCTGCATTAATGCTCATGCCGTTTTGTAAAAAGCTGTGGTGAATCACACACGCACTAGACCACCAAACAGTGACCATCACCTTCATAGGGGTCATTTTTGGTTTAGGGCATTGCTTTGGTGCTGAACCAGGGTCTAACCAACTTGCTGAGCGCTTTCGATTGTCTAACAGAATCCATTTTTCGTCGCACGTAACAATTCGTTTCAAAATTCCTTCATTTCTTTGCCTGTTGAGCAGCGCAAGGCAGGTCTCGACGCGTACGTTGCGCTGGCGATCGTTAAGGTCGTGGGGCACCCATCTATCAAGCTTTTTTACCTTGCCAATTTGTCGCAAATAGATCAATATTTGATGCTTACATTAAAAGCTGCTGCTAGCTCAGCTGTAGATTGAGTTTCGTCAGCTTCCACAATCGCCTTTAATTCATTATTGTTAACCAAAGTGTCCGGAAGAACACGAGCTTCATTTTTCAAGTCAATATTTCCAGAACGGAACCTGGAAAACCAATAACGGGTTGTGCGTTCGTTTGTACAGTTCTCTCCGTAAACGTTTTTGATGTTACGTGCCGTTTGTGTCGCGTTGGTGCCACGACCGTACTCATATTCCATAATTACACGATTTTTTAAAGGATCCATTATAATGAAAAATGTTCAAATGTAATGAAAATACAACGCTAATCAAAAAACAAAAGACAGAGTTTGTAAATAGAATGTCATGGTTTTAAAACTAAATTAATTTGAATTTAGAATACAGAGCCATTACAAACGTTTTGTTATTTGAAATGACCAGTACTGAAGAAAGGCAATTTCATAGGTAAAGACCTAATATGTGTAAAAATCTTACTACTTCCTTAATAATAGATTAATGTTACATTTTCCTACACAAAAAATAAATAAAGATACTGTGGGAGATCTGTTTGGCCTTCTTCTGACATGAGTCTCATCATTTTTTAACATTGTGGATTTAATTTTAATTGAATGCATGTCAGTTTTTATTTACAATTTATTAACCTAAGGATATCGTTATTGTATTATTATAATTATCTTTCACTTTTTTTGTGTCAGTTTTAAAATAAATCTTATGTGTATATAAATGGTAAGCCTATTTACTTGAGACTTTGTTTTATTACTTGAACTAGTCCGTATTGCCTAATTAGTTATTTTTTACGATTCCCAAAAAAAAAATGAAGGGTGGGAAAACCTTCTTGTCGTGAAACTTTGACAGCACAACACCAGGGTAGGGTCAGCTAAATAGTAATAAAAATTATTTAAAGTAAAAATGTGGAAGAACAAAGTTACACTTGTACTTTATAACTAGATACTAGACAAACTTTTTATGCAAGATGAGCATAGTATTAGTAGTCTAGAAATATACGAGTAACCACATATTTGTCTGAGAGATAATAAGCTCCTTCGTTTGGGTTCACGTAATACTCAATTACGTTAGTCTAAACGAAGGAACTTGCTTTTGACTAACGCAATATAGGTACATGGTACACTTCAGTGGAAAGAAATACTGCGTTTGATTTTATAGCTACTGACGTGCAATGTCCATCATCATCATCAACAGCCTTTACTAGTCCAATGCTGGACATAGGCTTCTCCTTAGAAAGGAGGCCTTGCAATGTTCATTTATCACATTTATCTAAAGATATAAAATTAAACTGCTCTGACTGACTGACTGATTCACCAAAGCAGAGCCTAAATCGGTGAGGCTACAAAATTGATATTTTGGCAGCTGATGCATTTTATGTTGTTAGGACCCACTAAGAAGGATTTTTGGAAATTTCATACCTAAGGGGTAAAATGAGGTAATAGTAAAGTAATAGTAATAACTTTGAAAAATATGTCATCTGAACTAATTCAAAGGACTTCCCTTAAGGGAAGAACAGGCAAAAGGATATGTTAATTTAAAAATGAAATAACAAATATATATTATAATCATATCTATTCTTAACTTTGGCTAATAATTATTTGGGTAATTGAAGTTAATAATTAGTAAAATAAATAACTTATTCCTCAAAATTATTAAAAAAAAAGTCAACATTATCCGTTTTGCCCTACCAGAGCGGGCAAAACGAATACCCAGGTTGGGCAAAAAAAATACTGATTCGAAAACGCATTTTAATCAAAACAAAAAAATATGAACCGCGTACCGTATAATATGAAGAACAGGCTTCATGTGTCCAATCTTGACAGATCCCACATTGTATCCAATCTTTTCTTTGCACACGGTATACAGGTAAGATGTCGTAGATTTTCCTGAGGTTTTTTTTATTCGTCGTTGTCTTTTGATACCGAAAGGACCTGGAACATCGATTGGAGCTTTCTTTTTGCAGCTGCAGTATCTTGTTTGTATCTAATCCGTTTTGCCTATCTGGTAGTTTACATAACCTTAAATTATTACAAACTACAGCGATAAAAAATAACTTAATTATTTCATGTTCATTAAGAACATATTAAAAACTTCATCGTCCTTAACAACATTAAAATAATCTTGCCCGTCCGTCCCCTACACTACTTAGAGTAGTGCTTCAAGTGAATACCTATTATGTTGAACTTGGAATAAAACTTGCATTTGGTTGTTTCGTTTATTGATAATAAATAATTATTTTATTTACAGTAAGATTTTTCAAAACAAACTGGTCTAGTTTGCTAATACTATGACTCAGTGATGAGCAAGGTAGACGGGAGCGGCATGAGCATGGCTGTGAGCGGGAGCAGAGTTGGAGACAACAGCGTTGAATCCGTTCTTGTCGTCAGCACTGTATTTGACATTACGAACGGAACCATCAGCCTCGACCAGTGAGTATTCACCGTGAACAGCGTCGCCGTCACGGCTCTCGTGCTGAGACTTGTTGTCACCGGAGTGTCCATCAGCCACGGAGTAAGAGAAGTCGTATTTGGGATGAGCCTGTTAATAAAAATGAGTTAGATTTTCCTACATCAAATGAATATCAACAAAAAGTAAAGTAAGTTAAAACACTTACGTATTCTTCAGCATGGGCTACGGGAGCAGAGTAGTGAACGGGAGCAGCGGCGTAGTGAGCGGGGCCAGTGGCGTAGTGAGCGGGGGCAGCGGCGTAGTGAGCGGGGGCAGTAACGTAGTGAGCGGGCGCGGCGTATGCAACGGGAGCAGCAACATGAGCTACGGGGGCGGCAGCAAAGCGGGCGACGTGGGATACAGGGTGGGCCTCGTCATGACGCACGATGCTCTGTGAGGAGACTGCAGCAGATGGAGAGTAATGCGCTGCTGGCAGAAGACCCGCTGCCGCTACAGCCAACACTGCGCTTACGGCTACGACCTACAATACGAAATATTTTTAGTTTGTTATATAAACACTGAGTATATTATAAAACACACTTTATATTTAAAGACTCACTTTTGAGAACATGTTGTTAAGATTATCTGAGGTACAACTGATGAACTGCATACGTTAAGATTGTCTTATATACTGTGCGATTGCGGTTTGGGCGCGACAAGGTCGACGGGTCACAGAACTACTTCATAGATTACTAGGAAACTTTCACAATAGCTACCTACTATTTATTGTGTATGTAGTTTTATTAAATGTGAATAATGGATCAAAAGTGATCACTTAATTTTTTTATGTAGTTCGTGATTTTAGTTCAAGAACAAGTTATCGTCTGCGGTATTTCCGAACCGATACGACGTTTGAAGTTTGAACTTAAAAAAAACATCGTACTCCGTCCTCAAAAGCTGGCAACACGCTTGTTACTCCTGAATGTCAGGCGTTCATGGGCGGCAATAGTCTTTTTCCATCAGGTGACCCGCCTGTTCGATTGCCCCCTCTTCCATAAAAAAAGTTCTAGTTGTCATTTTAAGTTTATATAATATACTGTGTAATATTTATCTATATTTAATGTATTGGGGTCGTTTTTTTAAACGCAGAAAATCTTAGAATCCAATTAAATGCAGTTCATCCTCTCTTCAACAATGCATACCACAAACCTAACATTCTTAATTATACTTTACTAGATGATTATGAGGTTATCAAAAGTAATACATTGTATTATATTTTCATATGGTTCCTCCCAGAGTCCCAGTCTTTGTTGATCAGTCCGATTCGTCAGTAATAAAAATTGTTTTAGAGTTTCATTTCACAAAGAATGGAATCGTATTTTTAAAACACCCTCATATAAATTTTTACTATACCCATAAAAAATTACATTAATTAAGTTAGAAGTTAAATTTCGTTAGTCATTACACGCTTGTTCTTTATTAAAATTTTGGACACTAAGAATGCCAGCTCAGTAAAATAAATTGGGTTTAACAGACAAGTAAACACTCCTTAGATACGAGTAAAAGTAACAAGATGTATTTTTTATACATTATACATTCTAAAAAAAAACATATAAAGAAAAAAGAACAATTTCGTCTTAAAACAAAAGTAGGAATACAGCACACCGTACACCGTATTTTTACAACTTTAAAGTACTCCTAAAATAACTTTGTGTCACGAATACCTTCACGTGCTGGCAATACTGCGCTTAAGCGGTTTGGCGTAATAAACTGATAATAAATAAATATTAAAATGAATTAAAATTTGCATAAATTTGGGCAACAGCAGCACTCCAAATTTATCATACTTTGATAGGAAGTATTCTTCCATTACGCATAGCGATATTCTTAGTTCTCAAAATATGATAGGCATTTCGTTGTCTCAATCATCGTACAAGTTCGTCCCAAGCATTTTCAATTGATTTGAAGTCCGGACTGTTTGCTAAGCTATACCCGCATTAAGAACATATTCCTGTGCCGCGGGGGACTTTACAAACATACATGCAACGGACACAAAGAACACACAGACTCAGAAGAAATCAATTTGTGGACTACACAAAGTATTGTCCCATGTGGGGATCGAACACACAATACTCATTAAGAGGCATGGCTACCGCTTAACCACTACGCCATCCGTGCAGTCATCGTCATTATAATTTGTTATACTATGAACGGTAGTGATGTAAACATTTAAGAGGCATGGAGGTGAAATTAATATCTAACTTTTATCTAGGTCGTAACGTAAAACTAGATGTGAAATATTCTCGGTTCTGAGTTAATGCAGCCGAATGATATTGGTATTTATGTCACATTACTTCGACCCTCATAAATTTATGTATTAAGTCAATAGGCTACACTCAGATGTTATAAAACCATGATTATTAAAGAGAAGTAAGTTATAACAAAAAAGTTTGGTAACTTATGTTTGAAGTATACAGCAACAGTAATATTTATTTATGTTCAAACATTTTTTATATTCACTACCAGTACGTCCTTAAATTCGACTCAACTTTTATGAGCTTACTGTCTGAAATTTATTAGATAGATAATATCATACACACGTGCATACTCGCGGTGTTTCAATAAAATGTTCACAATAGCATACATATAAAAATCAATGATTAAATAATTGTCCGATTCCACTTTAAATACATTTATTCGGATTGGATCCATGACCTCAAGTAAACCTTCTAAATTACCTTGTGACCTTCCTTCTACAGTCGTGATAAAGAACAATTTAATTGTCAGTGGCAGCAGAAACTTTGGTATATCTTGAAGATAATAAAAAAGAAATTATTAGATGGTGAAGAAAGATTATATTGATTGCTTTGCCAAAAAAAAAAAACCTATTATATTATATTTAGGTGCTTACAGTTTTAATGTCAATGTCCATGCATAAAAAGTAGTCAGATGCGCGTTGGCAGATCTCTAAAAACCTATACACTTCTATCCTTTTTTTATTTGTTTTGATACAGTTATTCATAAAAAACATTTAAGAAATATTCTTAGCAAAAGACAAGGAATATCCAAGAATGAATTTAATCTTGATAAAGTCCACAGTGTAATCAATAGGAAAACTCAAAGTTACTTCTACATACGTATGTTAGAGGGCAAGAATATAAGAGAATTGTCAAGAAACATTTACCAAGATGCGTATGTAAAATGTAAATACATATTTCTCGTACTCTTTTGATTCTAATAGATCCTGTATAACAATAACTTTACCTTAATATGAAAGTAACTTTTAATTTATTTGAGCACATTAATCATTTTAAATTAAAGCTCTAGTTCATGAGTATCATTTAACGGAATCTCAATTTAATCAAACGTCGTGTTTTATTATCAATGTCATGGATATATCACCGTGACCTCAAGATGCGGTCTTCGAACCGAATATTATGCAATGAAGATGATTCAGCTATTCATAAAATACTCTACATATAAAGCTGTTCACGTAATACACAGACGAGAAGTCTGCCGTGCGAGCCGTGTCATACTTTGTTGCATGATTTATGAAAACAACAATCCTTTTTAAAATACAGCTTTTATTCTTACAAGTGGAACATAATGCTTGGTGTTTCGAACACACCGACTTAAACCGTTACTATAAGTTTATGTTTAAATATCATATACGAGAACTATGCACTAAAGGATAAATGTTCCCTCTAATTTAATTTATGTGTATTTAAATTTTATTGACATTTTACTTTTTATTTTATAAATAAGTAAAAAGGTAGACATTATCATTGACATATGATGTTGGGAAAAATCTGTTAGTAATTTAAGTATGATATTTATAACATAATAACAGCTATTTTTAAAAAGTCTTAGAGAATGTTGCTGACTTACTACAAAACACTTTTGTCCTAGAAGTATCATGTCCGCAACCTTATACTTGTTCCATAAAATCCGCCAAAGTACGTGTATAGTTCCGTGGTTTAATACTATCCATTTTAAGCGAGTAATAACTTCAGGTAAATAATTTTTTCAAGGTTTATGTTGTGGCCATTATTTTAAAGCTGGAAATGAACCGATTCTGGTTCTGAGAAAGTTAATAACAATTTTGAGCTTGGTTCTGTGATTTTCTTACTTATACCGTTGAAACTATATGATACCTACGATTCAGTTCTTATCAACACTTATGCCATTATTTTTAATGGACCTTATAGGTTGAATAATTTCAAACTGTGCATTGGCAGTGCTGAGAAAATGACTCACCATCATCTACATTTTTTACAATTTCACCCTTCAATATCAACCTTGAGATCCCTTGCTGCACTTATCCGTAGTTCATCAAACAATTAGTCGGTACCTAAATATCGTTTTACGATAGTGGCATAAGTAAGATAATTGGCGAACAAAGCAAAAATTATTTTCAAAGTAAAAGTCATTTAAAAATATTTACAATAATTCTACCTACCTCTGATAATACTTTTAATACTCTGAGAGACATGAGTGAGAAAATGGTTGTTGAACTTTTGTCGCTAACTGTCGTCTAATAAGTAGTTGTTTCAAGTCTAGATGTTGTCTATGCCTAAGGTTTAATTGTTTGCACAACCTAGTCTCTAGAGACAGAAATTCTTCCTATTGCTGGACTTATTTTATATAAACGTTTAAAGAAAATTAGGAAATGTAATAGCATTTTCTGGATGACGTAACTTGGATTGATGCAATTCCACGCCATTTTTTTATTATCTATTGAGATGGATCTCATTAACATATATTTTTAACCTGCCTGTGAGTCGTTAGAGAGAAGTAAAAGTTTCAAATAAACACTGAATTTACTCCAAAACAGGACATACTACCTGAGGGAGAAACACTGACGTCACTCAAGTTAGCATAGATAACCTTAAGTGGCTTCATTGCCGCCGAAGAATATGTGGTGCTTACTAATCTGATCTACAAACAGTAGACAGAAAAGTAAGAATAAATAAATAAGGAACACAAAGGTACAAAAACCACACTTAATTTTTTAAATGATATGCTTGTTTATTTGATATCAAATAAATAGAGCTTACTTTACGAACTTATTATCTAATCAGTGTGACTATAGACAAAACAAAAACTTAATGGTGGGCGAGAAGAACTGGAGCCTGATGAACTGCGTGAGCATGAGCGGGAGCAGAGTTAGAGACAACCGCGTTGAAGCCATTGTGGTCATCAGCGGAGTACTGCACGCGGCGTACAGAACCATCAGCTTCGACTAGAGAGTACTCGCCGTGAACAGCATCTCCGTCGCGGCTCTCGTGCTGGGACTTGTTGTCACCGGAGTGTCCGTCAGCCACGGAGTAGGAAAAGTCGTATTTGGGGTGAGCCTAAAAACATATACAGACATATAAAACATATACATGAGCTATATCGACGAAGCGAATAAACTGTTTACGGGAAGAAAATAAATGCACTGCATAAAAGTGCACGGATGGTGTAGTAGTTTAAGCGGTCGCCAGGTCGCTTTATACTACGCTGTGTTATGGGTTCGATCCCCACGTGGGACGACACTTTGTGAACAATAATTTGTGTTCTGAGTCTTAATGTTCCTTGTGTCCGTTTGATGTATGTTTGTAAAGTCCCTCGCGACAGAGGATATATTCCTAATACGGGAGTTGTCTTCTTAAAAAACAAAGGAAAACAAATATACTTACGTTTTCTTCAGCATGAGTAATAGGAGCGTAAAGGGCTGGGGTGGCAGCATAGTGTCTAGGAGCGGCGTAGACAACAGGAGCAGCGACGTGAGTAACGTGAGCGACGGGAGCTGCAATTTGAGCTACGGGGGCGGCATGAACATGGGCTACGCGAGCTACAGGATGGGCTTCGTCATGGCGGACAATGCTCTGCGAGGAAACTGCAGCAACTGGAGAGTAATGTGCCGCTGGCAGAAGACCCGCTGCGGCTACAGCCAACACTGCGCTCAGAGCAACTATCTACGACACACAACATTTTTAGTTTCCTTTAACCACTGAACAAAATAAATACTAATTTTATTAGTTATTTGTAACTCACTTTATAGACCATGTTTTTAAGATTATCTGATATACAACTGATGAAGTGCATATTTTAAGATACGCTTATATGTATTATTCGTAAGTGCTTTGGGCGCGACAAGGTCGACGGGTCACGGAACAACTTCATAGATTATTTCAATGCTTTCTCTGTTGTGTATTATATTTATATATTAGATACTACTTTAGATGTTATGCGTTCCGATAGTGAAATATTAGGGTCGACTAACAAGTTTGCAAGTTCGTTGCACAATAATCGGTCTACATTCAATTTTGGTAACTGTACTTGCTAGATTTTATGCACTGATCTTTGATGTTGTTTTAAATTTATGATGTATGTATAAGTAAGTATTCATTAAAATTAAAATAACCTTGCATATTTTTTATACGAAGTGATTCTATCTAAATCTTAGTTTTTTGTCTAGTCCAGTCCAGAATATTAAGATGTTATATTATAAATAAATAAATGTTTAATTGTGATTAATATTTGGTACTTAACCGATCCGATATACCTCACGTAATATCTCGTCAATATTTAAGGATTTCTTCCAACTGTTTTACTTCAAAATATTAGACAGAGTAAGTAATAAAAATATTGAACTTTGGCTGCACGGATGGCCACGATCCCGACATTGAACTACACTTTGTATTACTTAGCAATACTCCACAAAGAGTTGTCTGTCAGTCTGGGTGTTCTTTGTGTCTGTTTCATGAATGTTTGTTAAGTCCCCCGCTATACAGGCTATTTTCAGTGTAGGAGTTGTCTTTTTTATTTTTTTTATTAGAAATAAAAACAGTTAAAGTAGTCGTTCCTAAATCCAGTAATTTTTCTCCATAAAAATTACGCAAAGCGGCTTGATTAATCCTATTTTATGCGAATGGGTAGTTTACTATTTTAATAAGGCTTGCCATTAAAATTTGAGACTACTTTTTAAATTCGTCCTCATTAAACTCAAGACTTTTTATGAGAATAAAAATAAAAAGATCTCGCTATAATTCTGACATTGACACTATTAGCGTGGACGAGTTGAAACATCAAAAATTACTCGTACTTGTCATTGTGAAAGTTTGAAAGAATTAAATTACTTGCTACATCGTAATAGTTCATGAGAAGATTGTGTGAATTCATTATTAACCCGATTTTTTAATGAAACCATTATTGGTGTAAAACTGAATGCTTAATTACAAAAAAAAACTTGCCCATTTAAAAACCTGTAATAATTGACTGAATGTGTTGTAAAAGATGAAACTTGATCTCATTCTGTATTTGCTAAAATACATTGACTTTAAGATTAAAATGTATATAATTTGCAAGATTTCCACCCAGGACAAATAGTTGTGTGATGAGCACGACGATTTGTTCTGTATCTGGGTGTAATTCATCTATAATATGTATGTATTTAAAAATCTATAAGTATGTTTATCAGCAGTCTGGTTACCATAGTACAGGCTCTGTCTAGTTTGAAATCAGACGGCTGTGTGTGAGATGTGTGAAGTTTTGCAATTGGTGCATTTGTTTTTAAGATTTCTAGAGACAAAAGACAACCTTATAGGATCTAGTCTGTTTCTCTGGCGGTCTGACAGTCTGTCTGTATTGTAAATTTAAACTTTTTTTCAGAATCAGACAACCGTGTGTGATCAGTATGAGGTTATTATATTATTACTAGCTGACCCGGCAAATGTTTTGCCATATACATTATTTCTAGGAAATATTTAAAAAAAAACAGGGGTACGAAAAAACCCTTGTCATTTATGGAAAATAGATGTTGGGGGATTCTCAGACCTACCCGATGTGCACACAAAATTTCATAAAAATCGATTCAGCCGTTTCGAAAGAGTATGGTAACTAACATTGTGACACGAGAATTATTTATATAAGATATACCGACTATAGCCCACAGATTACGTCTGAATTATATCTATAAAGAAAATGGTTTTTTAATTTATACTGGCTAACCCGACTGACTGATCCTATCAATTTTTATGCCATCGTTTTAATTACATAGAAAATGCATTTTCACTTTTATTTAAATTTTACGCTATTTTATTCAATCTCTCTCCTTCTCTCTTTTCCTTTTTGGTCGAAAAACCTATTTTGAACTTTCTGAAGTATTTAAAAAATATTTTAAATAATTGATGCGATTTACTGTCTTACTTCACATCACATCACATCACATCAACAGCCTTTAACAGTCCACTGCTGGACAAAAGCCTCTCCTTAGAAAGGAGGTTTACTGCCTTATTGGATGAAGGATATAGAATTTTCATATTTACATACATATAATGCACCTTAGTATGTGATAATATAGGTACATTTACAATAACATGATGATCAACTATAAAATAAAATAATAATTTTGTATTAAACTTCTTTATAAAAAAAATATATTACGCCATACTACCTTTTAGGCACTCCACTAAGATATTGTTGTTATTGTAGCAGCCAAAAACAACACCAATATTCTTGATCTTTATTAGGCATACATATTGACATTATAGTACATTATCTGAAACTTAATTATATCCTCGAAAAATATTTATCTTATGACTTTACGGCTGTGTAATCAAAGCAACCATATTCATAAAATACAAAATGTATTGCAAAAAGAATATAATGGTTTATCAATACCAAAAGTAATGCTAAAAGTTCAAGCTAATTTATAAGGTCAGGGCCAACTGGCAGCACGCATGAGCGAACAACACACGTCACACCGAATTATTTTAGGCGCTCATATTACATGTTGCATTGCATTCAAGCAAATGTATATTTGCTTATAATTTAAGTTAGAAGCAATTGGCAGGTAAGAAATATGTGTGGAGCTTTTTTTTATTAAATAGGTGGCAAACGATCAGACGGGTCACCAGTAAGAGTCTACCACCGCCCATGGATACTTGGAACGAAAGAGACACAAGTAATACCCCAAGAGTTAGCAGAGTTAGCGGGGAGGGTGGAAGGACGTTAGTACTCCGGTAACCTCACGCATTCAGTAAAAAGCAAAGAAATAATTAATGATAATTATTTATAATGTTTTCACACATCTTACACACTACTTGGTCTGATCCCAAACTAGGCAGAGCCTGTACTATGGTAACCAGACTGCTGATAAACATACCTATTTATTTCTAAATACATACATCTTATAGATAAAGTACGCCTAACAGTAGTTGCTTAGCACCGGTTTTCTGTGAGGCCGAGGTATCGCTCCAGTCCCAGAGGTCTTAATCACAGGTGCTCCCATATCCCTCCTGTTTCAGGCGCAGAGTGGCACAGCGTATGGGTGGCAAACGACGCATATGTAATGTACCATGGTTTTCCCCAAATCTACTGCAGTGATCGTATTATCAGCTTTTGCCAATATCAGATTTTCATTAAGAAAAAAATATGTAACAATATAGAATAATATATTACGGCCCTAAGAATTTTGACCATCGTCAGTGAGTCAGTGACGAAATCGCTTTTTTTCTATACCAATAAAATCTAAAGTATAAGAGCTACGCAATTCAAACTTTATATGTTTGATAAATCCACTATTGACATCACACCCCGAGGTATTTATTAACTCTATTTCGAAACACAATGAGTCATAGATTGAAATACAGACTACAATCTAAAAGTAGTCCGTCCAAAGTTAAAGTATATAAAATAACATTCGCGAACATATTTGGACAGTAACTTTCGTCACATAGATGTATGTATATAGAATCCGTTTAATTTGAATTACCGCTCTGCTACTATAACTTGTACTGTGAAAGTCGCCTCAAGCACTCAACCCACACAACCGCCGTGTCAACAACTTATCTCCTAATATATGGCAATGAAATAATATGAACCAATTTATTATGTAGCTCAAAATTTGCATACATTGAATTTTATTCATTAAGTGTCACTTTTTAAGCCCTGCAAAGAAAATTTGTTTAAATCTACGAGTATACTAATATTATAAAGCTGAAGAGTTTGTTTGTTTGGTTGAACGCGCTTATCTCAGAAAATACATTTTTCGAGCAAAACTATAAGCTATATAACATCATGCAACATCAATAGGTGTCTCAATAAAAAATGTTGCAAATATGGGGAAAATTTATTCCTTTTGAGAGGTGTAGCCGAAGTAGCTCGGGTCAGCGAGTATATTATAAGTTTTCAATTATGTGGTGACGGAAATGTATTTACATACGTTCCAATAAGACAATTTAAACTCACATAGTGAATAAGTTGAAAAATTAAAACCAATTATATTATCAGGTTACTTAAATAATATAAAGTTATTAATTTTTACTTAAAATACCTATTTTCTCTTCGGATTTTACTTTTATTACGATGAGCCGCATAGTAACATAGGATACAATAATATTTGTACATAATAAAGCTAAACTGCCAAAAGGGGCTTTTGTTTGATTGTTTAAATGCGGAACAATCAGTAAAATAACAATTATTGTCTTTCTATTATTAAAAGTATTCATTAAAGCAGGTTAGGCATTGAAACCTCCCGTTACGACTTTTAGGTGTGAAAGAACAGAATGGCTAATAATAATAATTAAAGTTTACAATACAGATAGAAAGACTTTACTGTTTTGCCTGGCTCGACCAATCTGATGAAAAAATTATTGCTTGCGGTCCGGACCGATAAAAACTTCAAAAATTCAACAAAATAGCGTACTCTTTCTTTGATGGCTGAAAGCCCTTGTGAATATAATAAAGCTAATAATATTATAGCTAAAAGCTGTATATATATGCTGTATGAAAAACCGTCGAAATGCATATCGGATAAAGTGCAGGGTAGATTACGCAGTTTATTTGTAGATGTTACCTATGGTACAGAAATTTTTAACAATTGCATCTAAGCAATCTTCAATTATATCATTTAGATTAGTTGAAATATATTGAAATGGTAATAAAGCTCTAAAGCCAATTATAAAAATACGTTTCTTAGTCCATAAATTCTAAAACTGAATCGAGTCCCTCTTCCACAACTTTTACTTACCTTCACATCATATCATCATCACATCGACAGCCTTTACTGGTCCACTGCTGGACATAGGCCTCTCCTTAGAAAGGAGGTTTTGGCCTACTATACCACGCTGGCCTGGTATAGGGCTGGCTGGTTGGTATAGGGTTTGTTTCAAGTTTTCCTTCTCTCTGCAGTGTTATTGTTCTGCGTAGTTTTCTCCCTTAGTTGGTTCTTATGACACCCACGGAATGAATAGGCGTGGTGACACTTTGTATTCTTAATCCGTCACCACACGGATACTTACGCTTACCTTACGCTTATCGAATTAGCCATCTTCCCGCGGCTCCACTTGCGTACATGTTATTTTGTCTATCCTTTAGAAACAGTTCTTTTTTCTGAATGATAACTGTGTCCTTTTCCTTAAGACAACACAACAACATCTGGTAATCATTGTTTTTCAATGACTAGTTCAATAATTCCCCTACGTATTTATAATATTATTTATTTTTAACATTTATAAGTTGTATTTCAAAATTAAGTTATAGTATAATAATAACGTAAACTATGGATTATAAATAATGCAAGGGGAGGCTGCAATAATCGATTCAGCCCTCCCCCCCTCATATATTTTTGGCTCAGCCGATAGACATGCAAGTAACTTAAATGATTAATTACTCAAGTTAACTTTACTTACGTTACCGTTACTGAGTAATCAAGAACTGGTTACAAAACTCTAAACTTAAATTATTGCGCATTGGTTACTTAATCGTTGACTTATGAGGTATTGATCAAATTGTCTTTATTACTTATATGTACTATTAATTACTTTTATGTGACAAATTGACACAAATAAATCAATATTCTCTGCTGATGTATAACGTGTTAAGCCATTTACATCTTATTGAGACTCGGGTGCTGCAATTACAATGGCCAGAGCGTTGTCATGACGCTTTACACGCTGCCAGAATGTCCAGGGTGTATGTAGCAGACCTATTCCCTCGTGACTGATTGTGACCATGGTATGGAGCGACTAACTCCTTCTGCGGAGCGAAGTGGAACCAGGAGGGACTTCCAACCCTCTCCCAGCTCACCAGGCCCGGGAACGGACCAGGTACGGCAGGCGGCTTAAGCGCCTGGCCCAGGGGTGATAGGTGGCAACACGATGCGTTCCGGAGCTTCTTTAGGGGCAGGGAGGAAAAAACGTGGTCAGTTTACATCAGGAGACCATTTATAAGCCGTAAATCGCCACATCTTGGCATATGACAGCTAAACTAATTGAAATAAGGTTTAAGCCAGATGTGGCGTTATTGTCAGTAAATGAGGTGCAGCCTAGGTAGCCTAGGCAAAGAAGGAAGCACGCACTGGCATAGACCAGTATTACTTATGGTGCATCGGGCTTGGCACCGACTTCAAACAGACAGAAGGGACTATTGCTATTATAATGTTACCTGTTATAGTGAGGGTACTTATTATAGTTTTTTATTTAGATTTGTAATTATTTTTTAATTTTTAGTGCTCTTTGTCGGTATTGTTTGAAGTCGCTTCAACTCTTTTTTTAAAAGGCTTTCTTTTTTTTTTTTCTTTTTTACGTCTACCAAAATGGTCAAGTGAAATTCTAACTGTTTCTGATAAAAAGGTCTTGTCAGATTGAGAGACGTTCAGACGGACTGACAACTAAGTGATGATATTTGGATTTCCTTTATTCTATTCCTGAAAAGCAGATATACAGCACACACATACATTTACACAAATACAGAACGTAGATCCTCCTCCTTTTGAAGTCGGTTAATGTCAATGATATAAATAATTATACACAGAAATGTTCTACAATTTTAAGAAAAAATAACAAACACTGCACGTACCTTTAATTTTTGAAGGTTTTATGTATTTTCCTTCGGATACCATCATCAGATACGGACTTCGTGACACAAATATCGGCGAACAGACGAAAAGAACTCAACCGAGCATAGAAAGTACTAGTTTTTTTTAAATCATTCAAAACAATTCACATTTTGTGATTTGTGACGATAAATTTTTCAGGAAAACATTATGGAGACTTTAAAATCGAAATCAATTTAAATTAAAAAAATACACGTCAATTTGAATCACGGGATTGAATGTGTCGGCGGTGTCATTTATCTTACTCCATCCTGGATTCCACGTCTTGCAGTATTGTCTAAGAATAGCAATGAAACCTTTATAGGTTTATACAATAAATTACTAGACAACACCTTCACCATCTCTCATTAAGGGTACAAGGAAATAGAAGATGTACATCTCAGGAGTTTCTTAACAAATCGAACGTAAGTTAGTACCTATACATTTTCTTTTGTATAAACAATTAACAATTATTTAGAGAAATCAGCAGATAATTCTGAAGTGCTATACAAACAATATTATTTTCATCTTTATTTCTATCTCGGGTCATCTAAGATCTGTATCATCTTTCACAAACAATAGGAAACAAGTAAACACTTAACCCTCGGGGACATTAAAGTAAGAATGCACCTTGCCATCTCCATGAATGTTCTTATTTTGAATAGAAAATTCCTTGGGTTCAGCTATCAAAGGCTGATGTAATCCTAGCCCTTGATACACGAAACAATAGCTGGTTATAATAGTTCAAGTTCTGATGTCATTGGCTGCGAATGAAAACATTGCTCATAGATAGAATCTCTTAATTAGCCACTGCACTCGATCATAACACTCGCAGTGGGTCGACGAGGTGCGTGCCTTGAAGTAAAATAAGTAAAATTCAATTTTTTTCGTTTTCAACCCTTGAGAAAATACTAATTCAGGGAACAAACAAAACTAGCTGGGTGGTTCAGTTAAGTGAATATTATTTATTGACTAGTTAAAAGTTTAAAAGAAGATAATTTTAAGAAAAATGTTTGATCTGGTAAGTCCTATTCCAATAATTTAGATTCAAATAAAAAACTGGCGTAACCCGTTTGTTTCCTTGCAGCCTAGAATTATAGCACTTATAGCATTATGCGGCATGCCTGTTCAATTATTTCCTGTTTATGGTAATGAAAATGCAGCTATGGGTCCTTATTCAAGTGGAAACACAAGCCCAAAGACAATAAAATTTCCGGAACAATTTTTTCGTCACGTTTATAATAAACCCTTAACAGGTAAAACGTTAAGAGAAATGCAGTACGCACCTTTATATTTGGATGCCAAGATAACTGCTACTACCAGCAAAATTGTGGGAGTAACTACTGCTGGCTCCAACTTAAAGGTATATAATGAACACTTGGAGCCAAGAACTACAAATGATAAAAATGTGAATACGAAATGCTATCACCAGAACCCGGTAGAACATGTTGAGGCTTTGTCTTCTGTAAGTCGTAGTCCAGGGCATAATGCTGTTTACAGAACTTATCCATTACTAGTTCCCAGAGATAAGCCATTCAAGGTAAGAAGTTGTCAGCACTAGTAGTTCTGGGACCTAGCTCCCAAGCACTGTATGCTTGCAACTTTTTGTTGAGTTTAAGTCTCTATAAACATAGTCTTCGGGTCTCTTCTAGTTCCTGGTTCAAGGTAGGCTTTATAATAAATCTTGACTTTTTATTCAGGTACTTGTAAGCAGATATATAATTCACATATCACACATATAAATATATTTAAAATGGGCAAATAAAACACAATTTGAAAATAAAGTAGCTCGTTCACACGGCTTTCCACGCATTGTTCATTATTATATTAGACACTGAGGTGTAGTACCGTATTGTACCATTTAATAATATTGGCATTAGAGCTTATTGGCGGGTTTCCGAGACCGGATTCTATATTCTAATAAAATACTTGTTTTAAAATGTTGTATATGGAGACCACACATAAAAAAACAAAGTTCCCGTGTCGTCAAATAATAGTGCACAAATTAACATTAAATTATATTCTGAAAGTATCAAACTATTGCTTTTTGTTTGAAATATCCATGACTGGAAATTAAAATAATTCAATGGGTGGCGTACCTTGAGACCCACACTACACTTTTTTTCTACTACTCTACTAATTTATTTATATTATAACCGCTAAATGTATCTATTGGTTGAACTTCCTTCTGACTTGTGAATTATCTTATTATTTATAGACTTAATAGTGCTATTATTATTTTATTGAAATGTAGAATCCTGCATCGTGATCCTGGTCAAAAGAGTCCCACGATTAATTGGTACATGTGGCTTAAAAATGATAATATTTTTTATTTGATCTTGATTCGTGATAGTCTCTGTTAGTATTTAGTCTCGTTTACGAATTATTTATATTATACTCTACCATTCAGTGAATGCAGTGAAGATATGTAATTATGTTTAAGGGAAATACGGGTATAAACATAATTATATATTATGGAACGTGAAAGTTTAAAAGATCGCAGTAAGGATAGTCTTCTTATTTTTAAATAAACCTCACTGATTTGGTTTTCTTCTAATATAAAAAAATATACAGTATTTTTATAAACTACGGAAAAATCAAGATCAAAAAAGATATTCCGATGTAAGTTGTAATAACAGTAATGTAATGTAAAAACTATCCTCTGTTAGTGGTAACACCACTAACAGAGGATAGTTTGTGTGGAGGATAGATAGGTGGTGGTGGTAGACACCTAGAACCGTATGTGATATTTTAATTAATCCACCTAATTTAATGTTGTTCCTTAAAGAATACCCAATACAAATTATTGTCGCTTAAGTATTTCTTATCCTGTGCCTAAAATATTTAGATTCCTGCTAATATATCGGTGATGGCTATTTATAAAATTATATATTATCAAAATTTGTACATATAACCTGTAAATATTAAATCTATGCACAAATCTATGTTATTATCGTCATTATTATGGTTAATTTGACTTTTACTCATTAATATGTAATTAACTGCTTCTTACAGTAGTAAATTAATGCCACCAAACACTAGACACAAGTTAGCTATTATAAGTATATATATGTATATAATAGCTAACCATAGCAATTAATTAAAATTGAAATCGTTAAAATAGTAATTTAAACTAGTAATTTTAAATCAAATCGAATCGTTTTTAGGTTAGGCTATTTTTCTAGAAAATATTTTTTCTAATATTCAAAAAGGTTTTTTTACCTAACTAAGTATTTTCAGAATTAAATAATTATGAAAAAACAATTGTCCTTTTTAAACTTATCTTTTAGCAGTATAACATATAAACTTAAAAGTTACAGAAAAAATTGGTCGTAAAAGTGATATTATGGTCAGTAGTACACGGGCACAAAAAAAAATTCTTAATAACATTGAACAGTTTAAATTATATCTTTAGTGTTTTATTTGACACATTTACAATTGCACAAGCGTTTGACAACGTTCGCGTTCGCTCACGACTGAATAAACTGTTACATTTTTCAGGCCCACAAGCGTTCTCAGGATGTCGTCAAAAAGCCAATGCCAATGAAGAAAGTTTTGAAAAAAGTCCGTAAATTTAATGTTTATAAGTACCTACCTTTAAGTCGTTTATTGGTTCCTCGCCATGCACTTTAATTTCACGCACTTTTTCATTTTCGGACTTATTGCAATTCTTCGCGCAAATTAACAATATGTGAAAAATATTCCTAACATAGTAGTAAGAAATAAAAAATGACTGTATTATTAAAGAGATTTATTATCAAAATAACATCGTATAACAACTTATTAAGGTGCTGAGCCGATTCTTACTGTAGACATACCGCTTGACTACCTGCTCGAACATGATGATGATTTTTAAACGTTTTATACTTCTCTCTAAAAAAATTTCAAGTACGCACCTGCACTGCCTGTCTACAAATCAAACAATTCATATGATTTGTAATATACTTTTACTTGACTTGTAATACACTTCGTAGTGTTAGTGACATGAGCAGTAAAATACATATTTCTGGAACCACACAAGTCAATATTAGTAACGCACAAATAAAACAATCATTTTAATGTAATGTAATAAATGGCGGTGGCCAAAATAATTAAAATGTTACTTATATTTTTGTAATTTCATATTTTAGCTTAACTTTATAAAGCCTATTCCCGTAAAACAACACTCGGATTTCCTACCAGTAGCTTCAACAGCAGTGCCATTCCTTCCCAGAGTACGCATTTCTCCACCCTTCATGAACAATCAGCAGTACATAGTTAACCCCGAAATGTAAGTATTATCCATTACTTTATTCAAGTTTTTTTACTGCGATCTCATTAGTATAGGGAAAACTACTTTTCAGACCAGCCGCGTACGAGTGACATTTGTTTTTGTGTTTCGTCACTCTCGTCTGGATTTCAGTGGAAGTTATTATTGTTATTATAAGCAATAATAACTTCATACATCTCACACACGGCAGTCTGATCCTAAACTAGGCAGAGCCTGCACTATTTTAACCAGACTGCTGAATAAACATACTTAAATATTCCTACATAACAGATAAATTACACCCAAACACTTACCATTTGTCCTGGGTGGGAATCGAACACACTACTTCAGGCTTAGCAGTCAAGGTCACTAACCACTAGGCGATGATTCGATTCATATACTATATTCGTTCATATTATATCCGTAGACAGGACGAGAGTAATAAAACAATCACGATGACAATAGTCACACGTGAGCGATTTCGTTGAGAACTCCCATCGATTAAATCGCGCTGTGGACACGTTGTTTTATTGATGTAAAAGATGTATTAACTGTTGGTTTTTCGTAACTTGAACAGGATTGGTGTTGGTAAAAAAATGAGGTGCTATGTGTCATTCAATAATTGTGTAATTTATATAGATTAGATGTGTAATATAATTGGCATTTGTAAAGTTTTCGCATCTAAATTGCGAACTACTGGCAATCGAATCTGCTTTTGAATGTAAATTTTCTGTTATTTTGTTTTAGGTTATACGTTCCTTTGAACTAGGGCAAGCTGCTTACCACGATTTTATAATTAGTCGTTGCTATTATTAGGCAAATAATAGAAGCATTTTCTTCTATACTCAATGCCCCACAATAATATTAAAGTCAGTAATTTCTATAAATTATTCAATATAATGCATCAAATATAATTTTTGTTATAAAATGAATCGATTTGAAGAATGATGATTAGATGTATTGGTTTACCTTTGTCTGAAATATAAAACCTATGGGTTAGTTATGTCAGTGTTAAGTTATTTTACAATAGGCTTCAAAATGTTCATACATATGATCAATTTACATATAAATACCCCACCTAGAAAATGTCGTCTCATTTGGTTAAACAAACGGCTTATAAAATTAAAGTAAATTGTTGTCTAAGTGGATTTAATTTCAGGAAATAAATTCAAGTTGAATTTCACTAATCTAGTAAGATGCTTTTATGTTTCTTAAATCATTAGATTTAAAAATGTGATATAGTATTTGATTTCATCTGGTACATTCTAATACAATATTATTGTTAGGTATTGTCCCTTAATAATTTAAGAATTAAAATAAAAGAAGATCCGACCTATTTTCTTTCATAGTCACAATTTTTTTTGCAGTTCAGACATAGATGATGACCTGGGACCTGCAAAACCTAAACGTCCTCAATTCTTGCCTTTCAACAAGCTTCACAGAATACATCTAAACATAGCGAGGGTATACAGCCCAGTGTCTCAAAAATTACAAAACTATTCTGGTGTCTACTCGATGAATGTTGACAGCGAGCATGCACAATTGCAGTCTGACATGCCCTCAATATTACATTTGTCAAAGAAGAGTGAAAACAAGAATGTAACATAATGTGACTAGGAACTAAAATGTTTTACGTGTCTTGTTTTAGAAAGGGATGTAGTTAATAAAACTGTTATTTGTGTGATATGAATGTTGCACTGTGACGAATACAGAATATTCTAAAAAGGAGTCTATAATGTTGGCTACTGATCTATTACAAATTACATGTTCCAATTAAAAACTAAGGGTTTAGTTATCAAATAATTAAAAAAAAGAATAAGAATCTTTGAATTTTTAATCGCCACATAAATTTCGTCAACAGTTTCGATCACAGTTTAAATAATTCATATTATTTAAGCTGTTACCAAGACGTGAAGAAGTAAAAAAACATAGTCTTTGTTTTTAAGTAGATAAGATTTTTTACCACAATTATCTTCAATTAAGAACAGCCCATACTAAAAGGCTTCAATGTCATGTAATGTTCAGTTACTTAATATTAATTAGATGGGAGCGGTCATACTCTTATAATTCGGTACCACAGGTAGACTTATTGTGTCATTTTGACCGATACTTACTTAATTTGAACATAAATGAGAGTTGGCTGTCTTATTGACTATCATTATGTCTTCATTGTATCATTTAAAAAGAATATATTTGAAAAATCTATTTACGTATGTATATTGCGAATGTCTAACAATAGACCTAGAAAGATAACATCAATCGTAAATGAACCACTGTCTATGTATAGTATTATGTTGTTTAATTTGTTTATTATGAACTTGAATTCATCGTTTTATTGAATCTATTGTGCACCACTGTTTTGAGAGACTGGACAAACCAAAATACTTCTTATTAATATTAGATTTAAGAATAGAATTAGGCAATAACATTAGCTGTAAAACTTACCTAGTGCTTTTTTGTTATTTGTTTGATGCACGTATGGGTATTTTTAATAAAAATACAACATTCTAATTTAATGTAATTTATTTTCACTTTTCATTATTTAAGAAATCGAACTTTTGATTTTATTAACCATCTAGTCAAAAAAAATAAGAAGTTCGCAAAATATAATTTGTCAGTAGGGTTTGCTCCTTGGAATCTCTGGTATTCTTCAGTATCTATGTAATACCGGTACTGATATTTCTCGGTATTTTCGTGAATTCATAACTTTTTTCTTAACATTTGGTGGTTTTATCATTAAGAATAAGTGCTGCTGCTCACGGTGTTGCTTCTATTTCCTCTATGTTATCTGAATAACCACAATAAAAAACATGAATTGCGTCTATTGACATTCTATTGTTTTATTAAATGGGTACATATAACGCATCAGTTTTGTGCAGACTCAAGTAGTCTGATAAACGTACTCGTAAGTAATTTTTTTACAAACCGGGTTAAGAAAGCTTTAACCGTTGTGTGTCAATAAATAACAAGTTGATTAGCAAGACTATACAAGGAAACCTAAGGTCACCTTACGCTAGTTTTGCAACATAGCAACATAGCAGATTATACAACTATTGATTGCTACTGTATATCTAAATCAGTGTATTTAAAATTTACTAACTCAGATTCTGATATGTAATAGGAAACCTCCATATGATGGTCTATTTCATATCATCCACAAAAAAAAACCACATTAAATATAATTGTTACTTAGCTTACTCTTGGTCAGTGACCCTGCCTGCTAAGCCTGCTAAGATAAGTATGTTTAATACGTAGCCAACTTAATGATAAATACTTGCCACTGGTATTTTGAACCCTGTTTCATCCCTAATGTACATGGAATTTATAAATACAAAAATAACGCCCTTTTTGTGCAGGATGCTGAAAACCTTTCTTTGGTTTTTTACTTAAATAGTACTTATAAAAAGAGATTAAATATTAATCGTTTCCGGTCATATCTTGATATACCTTGGCCTTGACATTTTATTGTAACTGATTTATATTGTTGAATAGAAATTGTATAATAAAATACCTTGCTTATTAAATATAAGTTCAGACAGTCTAACGAACCTGTCTTAATTTATTTCGTAAAGGTATTCATATGAAACTATGTCAACAGGCGTAAGGTTACAGTGATCTCGTTCTGGAATTTATTGCTCATTCTTGTGAACGCATTAATGTCTAAATTGACAAGTATATACACGAAGATTATCTCTATACTTTTATAATTACCAGAAAAACAAACACAATGTTCATCAAGGTAACAATGGTACAGTTACAAATAATACGTGAATGTATATACTAAGTTCTGCCCGCGATTGCCCGCGTGTACGTGGGCTATGCCATTAAAAGTAGCCTATGCCTGATAATTTAGCTTTTCATTGGTGAAACATTTTTTTTTAATTGTTTTCGTGGTTTACGCGTGAAAGCATTACAAAATAAACTCACAGTTGCATTTATAATATTAATTAGGATAAAAAATCTCAAGAATCACCTTTTTCAATCACTGCTACGACTTCCGTGTGAAATTAATAGGCAAATTATAATGTTTATAAGTACTGATTGTTTTCGGTTTGGTAGCCGCATGCCAATGCCAATGCCATTGTGCGACATGATCAAATTGCGCAAGCTGCACCTGAAGCATCGCTAGCGCTGGCATCAGCTATTATGCCGCTCCAGCTCCAGCCCGAAGAGCCCTTCGATGCACACCCTACGAATACTACTACTCTGTTATTATTTTTATCATTAGATAGCTTAAATAACTCATGACCAAATTGAGCTTCCTCTGCTAGGACAATGAAACTACTTAATGCAATATACGAATTTAATAACTAGGTACGTATTAAGATTCTAGTAAAGTAAACTCAAAAGTTTTGGTTTCTGTTCAAATGGTTTCTGTACGAAAAGTGGTGGATTTTTTCCCATCTCAAAAAATGAGTTTCTTTGTTAAACCCAATTCTTAATTTAATTTAATTTAATTTAATAATTTATTAAAAAGAAAAGAACAGAAAATGACACATGTAAAACCCAAACATATCGGAGACATAAATAAAATGACTACGTGATACGACGCATAAGTATTCCACTGAACAAATCGACTATACTTAGACAACTTACAAGTACCAAATAGATTAGTGCACGGAATTATCTCAGATTCATGATACACAAATTCGGAATACAGAATTCTTACCATATACAAGTAGCAAAAATTTATACTCCGAACATGCACATGAAGTAAATTAATGGCATACGTCAATAGTGGTAAATAAATTACACTAATCCATCTTAACAAATACTTTAGTTTGTTGTGCCAATAGCACAATAACAAGGAAAAACAAAAAAAAAAAAAAAAAAAGAAAACAAAAACATAAAAAACAGTAACAGTGATTAGTAAAGAAAAAAATAAAATGACTCGAGTGTAAAAAGATTATGTTACAATAACTATTAAACAAGATTTAGATAGGGTTTTATTTATTGCTATAGGAACAGTAAATATATATATAATTTATTTTCTTTTCGATAAAGTCTTTACCTCCCGTGCTAGTCAAAAGACTGTGTTACGGCAAGGTAAATTCTTCTCAGATATTATTTCGTAACCCACAAAGGTATTATGTGAATATAATACATTTTTAAGCAAATACACCTACACATACCTACGTATACTAAATAAATATCTATATATACACACATATTTTTACTATGTATATCACTACTATTTATACACAGTTCTATTTGTCTATACGCATACATATATAATCGCATACATACATATTTAAGCGCTTACATAAAATATTTCTCCACCATTTTGCTTGCTTACAATACTCACTATACATACTCCCATATAATTTCGGATCAAAATTAAATCACCCGTACAAATAACAATCACGAAATGTGTCTTTACTTACATACTTGCATAATTTTTTCTGTCCCTTCGTAGTCTAAACTGCTTAGGTACTTCTCCAGTTCCCTCCTGCACACAAACCTCGTCATGTTTGTCAAACTTTTAACTTTACTTATGCGATTATAAAGCAGCGGGCCGAGAAAGTGTGAAAAACATTGAGCAAACGCAGTTTTACAAGAGGGCACCTCATAGATATCGTGTGTTCTTCTCATGGATCTATTTGGAGGCCTTTGGCGACGATGTTGCTTCAAAATAAGGTATTTAATGAAATGTTGACGAATAGTGAGGACTTCAAATTCCCTATACAATTTTAAGGTAGGGTACTTAAACGGTTTGAAATTAATTATTTTTAGAATGCACCGCTGGGCTCTTTCAATTTTTATCAGGATACTTTTACGCGCACCACCCCAAGCCGCAATCCCATAAGTAGCTATAGACTGACATAAAGTAAAGTATACCATCCTATTAGTCTTCTGGTCTCTTAAGTTTCTAATATTTTTAAAAATGGGAATGAGTTTACGTATTCTAGATCTGAGATTAGTAATATGTCTTTTCCAGTTCAAATTCTGATCTATTTCAATCCCAAGATATTTTATACTCTCTACTGCAGATAAGGTGTAACAGTCGCAACAGCCTGTATTAGCACATGTTTCAGTATGTACCTGCAGTATGAAAGTAGGTGGAGGCTGTAAATTCTTTCTTATACTAAAAGTGATATATTTTGTTTTGTTAAGATTTAGAGTTAATAGATTGCAGTCAAGCCAGTTGGTAATGATTTGGATTCCCGTCTCAGCCACTGCCTTAACTTGCGTCCATGACGAGTGTTGAAATAAAATGACAGTATCATCAGCAAAAGTAATTATTTTCATATTGGGTATTTGAATGTTGCATAGACTGTTTATATAAATGAGAAACAATGTAGGCCCCAGCACAGATCCCTGTGGAACACCGAAATTAACTTTTAGCTTAGAACTATAACCATTTCCAATTTTCAGTGTTTGCGTCCTATTAGTGAGGTAATCTTCGAGGAGATCCAGGGGTACACCTCTAATGCCTATAGACTCTAATTTGCGAATCAGCAGAGGAATTGATATCGTATCAAAAGCCTTACTTAAATCAAGGAACGCACCAATACATCTTTTTCTACAGTCCAGATTTTGCGCCACATTTGTAACTAGCTCCTCAATAGCGTCCGAGGTAGATTTATGTTGTCTAAAGCCGTATTGAT